CTTTTTTAAGAATTTTTAAGAAAAAAATTTAGTTTCCAAAGATTCTTCATTAATTTTTAAAGTTTCTTTTTTCAAATTGGCTGCTTTCTATTATGGATGTAATATTATAATGAATGTTTCTGAGGATAGTATTATATTTTTAAAACACTATTTCTTCCCTTTATTGAATTCTTTGTTTCCTCCAGGATTAATTGAACTATTCTTTATCTTATTACTTCTCCTTCTTATCAAAGGATTTTCTCCAACATCAGTGATTCTTGATTGTCTCTTTATAGGAATGACTGAAAATAGAGGTGGATGTGAATAGATGGGTTCGTTTCTTTGTGATTACATACCGCTGTGTCTGCAATGGGTCTCTCTCCCAAGTGTGAGGGCTAATTTCAGGCTCTGTTTAAGAGAGCATGGTGTGTCAATCAATGCATCTCATTTTGGGATGCCTGAACATATAGCAGGCAAGCAGTCTACCCTAATGGCTTTCTTAACCCTGGTGAAGAAGAAGGTCAGCTTATTTTTCTCCTAAGAAGAGCTGCTGTTTCCTTCCCCCAGTGCTCTCTAGAAGGTCTGGAGGTCCAGAGTTATCTAAATACAATTCTTATTCATGCCCAGACTTTTGTGCCCACACAGGAGCCCCTTTAGGCATGGGTTCCCTTCCTATCAAGTACAAGTATTAATTTAATTCTGGTCAAACACTATTACTGCCTATTGCTTATTATAAGCAGTAATGTGGTATATGAATTCAGATAGAACTCTGTATCAGTTATATGTTGCCATGATAATGCTGTGTAACACACAGCCACAAAATCTCAATGGCTACTCATGCTTTGGTGCTGACTGGCTGTTGGCTGGGATGACTGGGGTGACTTTGCCCTTTTCCATGGTTCTCATACCCCAGAAGGCTAGTTTGGACATTCATGGCTATGCCAGAGTTTCAAGAACAGCAAATGGAAACATGTAAAACACAGAAAGCCTCTAAGACCTAGGTTTAGAACTGATACATTGCCATTTTTGCCTCACTTTATTGGGCAAAGCAAGTCACGAGGCCAGTCCAGACTCAAGGGACAGAGTAATAGGCACCACCTCTGTAGTGAGAAGAACTGCAAAGTCTCATGGCAAAGGGCATGAATACAGGGAGGGGCAAAGAAGTTTGGTCATTGATGCAATCAAGCCACCAGAGACACCTCAGGCTCTTCAATGAATTTGCTGTTAATTTAATGTCTCTGAATGTGTTCATACATCTAAAGTTATTTTTCTCCTGAGCATTCTTTGGTCTCTGGTCATATTCATTGTTCTCAACTCCTGCCAGGAAACGCCCAGGATTTTTGGGTCTCTGACAGCATTTTTCTCTTGTTTTCTCGTACGGTTATAGATGTATTCTTAAAAAAATATATATGTTTTCTGACATTTTAAGTGATTTTAGCGAGAGGGAAAGTAGATTTCTGTGCTCATTTTGCTCTTCTGATTCAATCTCCTCTGCCGTCATTTTCAATTCTCAGTTAATACCTATCTTCGAGGGGGATTCCAAATACAACAGGCTCGTTGCACCTGAAACATTAAACACAACTGGCATTTTGGTATTTCAACAGTCACAGTTTCATGCTGATGCCACAGAAAGCGAGATGGCTGAAAATCACTCTTTTCGCAGGTGAGAGATTTAATTAAGCAGCAAGGATGAAAGTTGATGTAGAAAAATCTTTCTAGCTCCAGTAGATTTTATTTAACCTAATACCCTAAGAAATCATGTGTTAGTATCAACTACAAAGACTTTGCTGATGGTTTGGTGGAAATTATAAGTAGGCAATAAAGCTGGAGATTAGGGAAAGCACCTTTTCCTAAGGATGAAAAGGGTGCTGCCTGAGTCCAATCTCTATTTTTCTAGTCTAGACAGAGACTCATTCTTCACTGTGCCCGGAGGCAGACAATCCCTGAGTCTACGGCCCATGTTAACTAAACCGCACATTAAAATAAGGCACCCCTTGGAATACGAGCTATAATTTTATGAGAACTACCAGACATACTCCTGACAGTATGATGGAGTCTCTCCCTAAAAAAAGAATTCTACAAGAATCAGAAAATTGCCTGGTGAGTGAGGAGAGTTACATTCATTTATTCTTTTTTTTCCTTTTTAATTTACTCACTCATTTAACAAATATTCTAGAACGCTGACTCTGAAAGAGCCATTTTTCCAGGCATTAGGTATACTCTGGTGAATAAAGTCTTCATTGAGGCTAATATTCTAGTGAGAAAGATGGATAATAAATTAGCGAATATATAATAAAACAAAAAATAGATAAATAATAAATATGTAATGTGTATATATAATTGTGAATTGTCTTAAGGGCAATCAAGGACATAAACAGGATGCAGTCATAAAGAATATGAGTAGACTCTTGATATTAGTCAACGCTCTACTCATCTGATGAAGACAGCCAGTGCCTCTTTTTCACTGGAGGGCGGATCTTGTTCTAGGGCAGCCCTTGAATCCAAGACAGCAGCTCTTTAACATCTGGGTCAGCTTGTGGGAATTGTGCTGCCTCCATGCCCCTGCCTGGCATTAGCCATCAATCATAGCATTCTTTCCCACTGAGCCTGCACTGAGGCTTAAGAGTCCTTTTCAACACTGGGCTCCAGGGGGTGGATCTGAGTAGGCATGCAAGATAAAACCACTCTGTGTAATATGTTTTTTATTTATTTTTTAAAATGTGTCTTGACCTAGTTTTAAAATTCTAGCTAGAGGCTAGTCAGTTCCCCTTAAGCATCTGATTAAATCAATAACCCAGCCACTTCCCTTCAGGCTCTAAAACTCCAGGCCACTAAGCACCAGTCCCCTCCCTAATTGCCCCTGGGGGCCAGGTACCAGACAACTAGGGACAGCCCTTATAGTCTGGAACTTGGGAAATTATTCAAATTAGCTTATTCACAAGGAGCCTGGGAAACCTAGCTAACCCAGCTGCTGGCAGTACTTAAAGCTGCTTCTGCAGCTCCAGCTTGCTGTTACTTGGTTCCTAGAGACCCACATGGCCCTGTGTGGCAGTCCTTCACTCTCAATTGGGAGTTCTCCTCTCAAACCAGTTCTCGACTTAGTTCTCTTCTCCTACCCGTGGTGCTGGGGTGCTATGTCCTGCCACCAAAGAACTAAATCCAAACATGTCTGCTCTACATAAGGAGAGACTTACTACCATTGTTACCAGAAAAATGGAGGCCTAATGCCTAAAATTCTCCTTCCACTGGTTGGTCCTAGGATGGACTCTGCTGGTGCACGACTCTCTGCTTCCAAATGTTTCCTGCTTCGGTGGCTGACCAGGATCCATTCCATGGGACAATTCTTTCTTATTTCAGGTTATCATACTTCAAACATGGTTAAAGAAAGCCCTTCTCTGGTCTAACAGCTATTCTCTTTTTGTCAGGTGACTTGATGTTCCTGATCCATTATGCGTAGATTTTATAATTTAACTCTTTATTTCTACAGTCTTGGGGATGAACTTGTCAGGCCCCCAAATACTTTTAAAAGGTTCCCTTTGCTTAATTCAATCAGAGCATCCTAAGTTCAGGTACAAATTCTCCTTGAACTGTAACCCAGAATAATACAGCATGATGCAAAGTATAATGTACTTCATAAACAGCGAAAGCATCAGTTTCCCATCTGGTACAGATAGCTCAGAGCACCACAGATGTCCTCTTCTTTTTGTTTGCTCAGTAAAATTTGTCTTAGGCCCAGAGGAAGATTTTCA